CAATACGCATTAATACGTGTCTGTGAGGTGAAATTAACATCGAGAACGACAAAAAATTTTTCTTAAAATTTCAAAATTGAAATCTTATTGACTCCGAATTCCGTTTGTTATTATAAAACACACTTTCCTCGCTTCTTGGAAAAAAACACAAATGCATTTTGGGGTAGCTCCAAACATCGTCCAAATTTCTATAAATACACCATATTTTTCCTCAACTTCTAAATTGTCCTAAATAACTTAAATTCCACGAATTTTTTAATAGATTTATCGTGGGTTAAATTTTACACAAAAAAAGGTCTATTTCTTCTACTTAAATCTTTTTTAACCAAAATCGGCTGTTTTTAACATCCTCTTTTAATTCCTCTTTTAAAGTATGATTGTGTCACATTGGAGCAATATATCACTATTGTGTTAATATTTGAATATTAATATTTGCTCGATCTGCTCGAAAAAGAATCTATATTACGAAAAATGATTTTCTACCTTTTTGTCTTTCTTATTAACATATCTATGTATGCAGTATATATTGCTAACATATTTAAGATAATTAAATTAAGAACGTTTGTAAAATTGTCTACATCTACAAAATATGTATGTAGGTACTACTACATATTACTTTACAAAATTAAGCTTATTTGTTTTTCGATAACTTATTGGTTTAACGTCATATCGTAGCATTATTTATTATACAAACCTATGAATAAGCTGTATATTCCTATTTTCGCTTTGCAATGAATGCTAATTTAAGTTATTATTGTAGTACAATCTTAATTATTAATACTGATTTCCTTTTAATATAATGCACCATTCCCTATACAATGTAAGAGCATATATAATCCATATATATCTATCTATAAATATAAAAACCTATATTTTCAAATAATATAATTAAGTGTATTATTTTATTGTAAAAATTTTTAGCAAAAAGATCAAGATTTGTTTTGTGACAGGATGACAATCCAAATCAAGATATTTTATCGATAAGGATAATTAGTAATGGATAGGAGAGTAAGATGAAACCGTTCGATATTTTGATAATGATTTATTTTTTACACACTTAGTTGACCTCTATACACAACTATACAACGATGAAAATTAAATTTCTGTCTATTTACTGCTAAGGTCATCGACTTGATAATGACTTGTGATAGAGATGCAATAAAATCAGTCGATTCTCTTCCGATTCACATGAATCTGACGACGTCTGCGGACAGTACGATTCGAATTAACTTCTGCGCGAAATATCTAAACGTACGATCAGCAGAGGCCATATATGTTACAAATCACCTGTAAAGAGTGACGCCCGCGCCTGCCGCAAATCAAAAGGACGTCAACCTCCACTCACTGAAGTCTATCTACACACGCATGATAAATTAAATAAATACAGGAATTGTTCTTCGCTTAAGGGGAGGTATCACTATCACCAAGAACACCGATCGGAGTTTTCGTACCATTTGGATCCGAGTTAAGAACGGGGAGGAACGTTCCAGGTGGCTGCATGCAGATAAATTGGCGTATTGCTAGCGGAGAACGAATTGAAATATTCAGTTTTTGACCCATAAAATTGAATGCTTGATATTCCATGAGATATATTCTCACATTATATATATTTAATTTTAAATCTTACACATATTTTATACAAACGCGTAAATTACATCAGCCATCATACATTTCACGTTTTTGTGAAAGAAAATCAAATATACCATGACATTTCAAATTTTTATCTTTTGCTCCAAAGACATCTACGTAAGAATGACAAAATAAGTCGAATTTTAAATATGTCGATTCATTCATACAAAGATCTCAGATCAATTATTAGCAATATGTCAATTTAATCATGCAACAAGAGAAGATGAAGATGACCGAATAGAATAATAGTTCTCTTTTTATGCGCTAAAGGAATGCATGCTCGACGACGAGGTATTGCACGAAGCATTCGAAAATAAGGAACCACAAACATTCTGACGAACATCATTAAGGTCTTGCTTCCGTCCCACGTCGACGACAGGACGAAATCGAGAAGGGACGCCTTCAACGCGCGCCCGTATTTTTGTACATTAAAAATCGTATACGTTCGTAGTGATACATCGACAATTGCCTATCTGTTACTCCATATTTATCGTTTAGGTTTACCTAGGTCTACCGTAAATTCGTAACTAGAATAGTCGACTTTTCGCAGCCGTGCTCGCAATCTACCACCGGTGCCGCTTTGAAATATTCTGCGCGGACCAATGTCGCCGTCAGAAAAAAATGAACGGCCATCCCGAAATATATCACAATGTCCATGTATACTCATGTTCGATCGTAATGTTGACGTCATCATACTTATTACATTATTATTGTTATTATTATTATTATTATTATTATCGTTGTATAATAATTATTATTACTATAATTATTGTTATTATTATTGTTATTATTGTTATTAGACGTATACTTTATTTACAAAACTTACGTTTCGATGACAACAACGGAACAATGTATACATATACTTATGTGCCATAAAATTCTTCAAGAAAGTAATACACGAACGTATGTTAACCTGGCCTGCATTCAGGAATTACGCCTAGATAACTCTAGGATGCATTTTTGCTATAGTATACGTAACGTAACGTATAGCTTAGAATTATCTGGGCATAATTCCTCTGAACGCAGCCCTGCATTCATCATCGGAACGTTTACCACCAGAAACGCGACGAATTATGTGCCCTACTATTTTGAATTTATTAAAGGAAACAAAAGAAAAAATCGTTCATCGCACCTCCGTAAAAGAAATTATTTTATTATAGGTATTTCTTACGACAAACGTCCGTCTCTGCACACGAAGATCATGTACGATCCCCGTCCGAAAAATAAAATCGACACAAGAAAGACTAGCTTTCCGTTATGCATGTATTAACATATAGCTCTTTGTTTCACAACAAAATCATTCAGTCGTTTTATTCTCACCATTTTAGTATAAAAAATCCAGAATAAATTGTTATTTAATTTTGTAATCGTAAAATGTGAGTAAATTTTATGAGTTTCCAATCGTTATTAACGCGATAAAAAGTTTCAGCATTTAAGAATATTTTAAAAGCAATTCCCGTTTCTCTCGTCATACAGAAGATAAAAAATTATTTTTCCAAATAGACATTCTTTCTCGATTGTTTGTGTGCAAGCACAAACACGTGATGCAAGGATCCTATCGCGACTCTTGGAAAGCGGTTTTTTTGGACAAATTCTGTCGTTCGAATGAAAATGTAAATACCGAAATTTTATTTCATTAAAAAAAATACTGTTTTCGAAACAGAAAAACTACAAACCTCTGCGTGCACAGTCTCAGAAACAATTGCGACGCGTTGCAGGTCAAACGGCCTACGAATAAGAGCGGTCGACAGCTCCGTCGCAGTTGCGAGCAATGGTAATTGCAGTAATGATACAATAATAATATACCCTATCACGTCAATATTTTTACTATATTTACACAATGTTGTATATATGTAATACTAAGATAACTTGTCGTATACATCTCATTGCACCTCGCCACGCCTTCCGCATTGACCTCCATGACTCGAAAATACAATGTGCATTTTTTCCCTGCGTTTCATCGTTTGTAGGAAGTGCCCCAATTCTCGTGGGAGAAGAAATAGGTGTAAATAAGAATTATGTGACGGAAACCCACGCCCTAATCAGTTTGTCACACTCATCGGAACGCAGTTAAATAATTTACAATTAGCGAGGCCTTAATCTCATCGACGTTTCTTTAGCGCGAGCGCAGACACTCGAAATGCCTCTAACGAGGACAAAACGACCAGAGTTTAACGACTGCATTATAGCCGCGACAAATCGCCCTCGTGCAGTATGATAATCGAATCAAATTACTTCAGCGATTTCATTCGGAAGAAGATAAATTACAGATACATTACATGAAGCCAATCGAACGTCCGACTTGGACGTAATTATATTAATATTATGCGTGAAAGTCACCCCGATTTCTTTTACCAGCGCACAGCGCCAACCCAAGAGTTTGTTTGCGGAGTAGGTTGTATTATTAGTTTACGGCAATTTTCTCCTTTTAAGACTCTTCGTGTGTCACAAAATCCATTAATCTGCACAAATCACAATTCGTTCCTTCCTTTATCGACAGCTCGGAGTAATTACTAGGACAGAGTGTTCCATCGCTCGTAAAAACAGCTGCCATATTATGACGGATCATATTTTAATCATTGATATTCGGAAATACTTGGACTCATAATAATTGCAGCGGATATATAGTAACCGGAGTGCTTGGATTTTATAATGAAATCAGTTCCACAAAAAACGTCGGTTATTACTGTTATTAAATATTTAGAGCTGTCATGATTAAGATAAATTTTTAACGATACTGAGCAAAATCCATTTTCGTTTTACTAAATAATTCTTCATTGACCGCTGTATGCATTGAACGTTGCAAATCTATTTAGAAATAAAACTTATTAGCTTTTCGCGAATTGTTTGAATAGAAAATCTCACTATTACCAATGATTTGCGCAGCTAAAAGATGGTTTATGCCAATGATTCAGTTTTCTCCGCAAAATATCATATAACGCTTACGCCTGTTGCTATTTAAGACGTATTTGACTAGACACTATATGTTGGAAATATTTACCCGTTAATTCCCAATTAGGAAATCTTCAACGTGCAATTTTAATTGCAACAACTCCGTCATATACATCAATTCTTCTTTACAGTTATGGCATCAAGTCGATGGTTGGCCCGGTATTAGCATCAGTAGGACACATTTGCAGAAACTGTAATCTACGTTATGTGTCACAATGGTCCTGGGAAGGCTATGATAATGAGAATCTATATTGCGCAAATTGTTCCTGTCGATAATGCCAGCAATTTCGATCCTCTACCCTGATTTTACCCTCAGCGCTAATTTATAGAAGAGTACTCCTTTCGTAGATTCTCCATACAACTGATATTTGTTTCTTTTAATAAGATAAAATTAAAAAAATGATAGAAATACTGCGCGCTGCATTGAATTTTTGTAATCGCTGAATCATTACTGCTCCGTTTTTTAAATTTATTTCAGTCAAAATATCCGAAATTATCTAACCATTCTAATTCCGTCATCATTTGCTATGCCTTATTGGCTTTAAATTCAAAGGGATGAATGATTTTGGACCTCCATCGAATTTAGATCGTTCTAACATCGTCGATCTTGACCTCGCCACATTTTCTTAACGTTAAATTTACGATAGCCAACTAGATAAATCTTTTCGATCGCGCTTACTCTGCGCTCTTGCTCTTCTGCAGAATCAAACGCAGTCGATCTTGTGATTGCGATCGACAGAACAGAGAGGAGTACTCGTTCCATGGATTATGGTAAGCTTCTACCGGCCGGCAGTTTTTCCTCCGTGGATACCGAACGTCGAAGAGATGGTTCAGACGACACCTTGATAAACAGGACTGTACTCCATGTCGTGGGTATACTGAGGTGGTCCTGGCGGCGGCGGCTGTGGACTGTACTGTTGCGAGGCGTCCGAGGCGCGACGCCTAAGCGCCGCGATACTGTGGGCGCCTCTCCAGTCCGATCCTTCGTTCGTGCTCACGTCGGCCACGCAGGAAACGCCACCTCCGGTACCGCCGCTGCCGCTGCCACCGGTACCGGAAGTCGTGCCCGGAGAGCCCTGACCGCAGTTCAAACCTGAGCCCATCCCTTGACCGCCACTCACCGAGGAACCGCCTGGTGGCGAACCTCGTGACGCCGATACGTGAACACCACCTGAATAGAAGAGAATCGGATTAGTCTTTTCTTCGTGGAGAACTCGATTATTTATATCGATGCGAATTAAAATACCAACAACTTAAACTCCTTTTAAATTCTCAACTATCAAGTGTTCAAAAACTATATTAAGAAATAAGTATTTGTTACTTGTAACTGTAATTGCATGGTAAAAAATAATGATTAGAATTCCATTTTTACAGTTATTACTGTTATAATGTTAATAACAATAATTATATTTATAAATAAGTAATAAATAGAAAATGGACCAACAAATGAATAACATAGAGGGAAATAATGTAATCCTATACAAGGGTTACATTAAACCTTATATCTTAAATTTTGATGTTTGTGATGAATTTATACGATAGGTATCAATAATGGGCAATGAGCCAAACACGCTGTTAGTGTAACAAATTCTGATTCATCTATTACAATATTTAAAGTCCCAAACATTTTGGTTCTCACACTTTAGGGCACTTCTTTGAGAACCGAAACATTAGGACTCTAAATAAAATTACAATAGATAAATCGAAATTTATTGTACTAACAGCGTGTTTAGCTCATTATTCTTCATTGATATTCATTTGAAATTTTCAAGTTTTTTGAGATTTTATGTAATTTTATATGCTAGATTTGAGGACATACATTTTTAAAATATTTGAAACAAATAACTAGTATTTGAAAATGTACAGCATGTATTTTTCTGTGTGTGTAATTACGTTAAATTATAGTAATTACATTCCTTTTTTCTCAGTGTATCCTTTGTAACTTTGTAAATATAGGTACGTTCTCTGACAGTTTGTAATAATTGCTAAGCGATAAATATTTTTTGTAAATAGTAGATAACAAAGGACAAATATTTTATTATGATACAGTCAATCACGAATCTACTACCGCGGACGAGGCAGTGCATCCCCGAAAGGTTCAGGTAGAAAAGAGGTAATTTACAGACGCGGCATCACAGGTGCAGGAGAGCGAACGTTTCGTTTCTCCGCAGAAGATATTAATACGGTAGACTGACAAAGCGCGTGGGGTGCGCTACCGGCCGTCGTAAAGTCGTTTCCGCCTTCTCGCGCGCTACGCTGGTGGGCTCGAAAGACAACGGCGGGAAAAAGGGCTTTTTTTTATGACGGTACTGCGCCGGGCACAAATTTGCAGAGGATGGCAGCGGTCGCTTTTGAAAAGCTATTCGAAAGAATGGACGTCTAATGGCGACGATGTACGTGATTTTATGACTATTGTCGGCTGAC